GATATATGAAGGTTTGAGTATACGGATGAAAGGTACCTGCTTATGTTAGTCATGAAATGTTGAAAATAAGTCTTTACGGTCAAAAAAGCCATTAGCGGAGAATTAATAAACTGTACAATCTTTCAAGCAAAATATTGGTCAGCATCATAATTCGGGAATGCTTAAAGACAGAATTCTTTCAATGGGCAAATGGTACATAAAGGCGATGACTGCATCTTATGATGATTCGTGTTTTCATGGGATACATTTATATCACAACTTTAAAACTGTGCTTCTAACGGAAACGAGCTGCCAAACACTGCTTGACATCAGATCAAACATTTGAGACAGTTATATCCTCAATTCAAGATTCAAATTGCAGGGATATCAGCATGTGGGGATGTGGGAATGTTTGAAATTTTTGAGGAAAACAAGGCTGTTAGTTAGGTTATTACATAATTCCACGTGATTTTTTTTTCTAACGTTCATTTTTTCGAATTCTTATTATATTTGAAAATTTTATACACGTTCTGAAACCTCTGTATCCCTTTTACAGGAACTTGTTTATCATTCTCTCATTTGATTTCATTTTACTTTTTTATTTAAGAAACGAATTGTCACGTGGACAAAGCAAGCCTTTTTTTGCAACTAGGTATTTTCAGAGTTAAACCAACTTGAGCAATTTTTTGACGATATTATTAGTGTTGGCATCAAATTAAGCTAAGCTGTCCTCTTAAAGCCTCCAGCCGATTCTTGGGAGACATGCTTTCTGTTACATTGCGCTTGCGGATGGGTTGTCGAAAAAGGATATACCTCTGGAGCAAGGTAGAGAGAATACAGAGGTTGTTGAACCTTTAAGTGGTCTCTTAAAAGTGACATGGCCTGTCGGTGTGCAAATTGTCCTAAAACCACTAAATAGATAATAAAACGACCACTGTCTAGCTATACTACAAGAATGGTACCCTTTCCATAACTAGAACTAATATATGTTCGTTTGCTAATTTTTGTTTTCAAAATTAAACAATGGTAGGTGTCATAATGTTGTCTCCTAACCACCTTACATCTAATTTCTGAGCTCAAAAGTTTTTGAGGAACTGTGAGCGTAGTTTGTAAAGCAGTGAAAGCGTTTTGTATACGCATCCGATCAAGTTGAAAAAAGTGCCTGAATCAGATGAGAAATTCATGGGAAAATTTGTATAACTAGTCTTTCGAAACATTTTTTTTCACATTTGGCTTTCATTACACTAGGCTATGTTTACATTGATCATAAGCCAAGCTATCATACAAAAAGTTAGTTATCTATACAATACAAAAACAAATATTGTTTTTTATCCTATTAAAAAAAACTGATCAAGTTTCTTCTACAGCTGCTTACATCATTAGAATCCTATCTCTGCTACAGCGATATAAGCAATTTCATCTGAGGTGAGCAGCTGCATTTATGCATTTGAAAACTATCAATGCACATTTCTTACCTCGCAATACTTGCATTACCCCATCAATAGCTCTCCATCATTGTATAATATTTTTACTAGCTTTGCTTTTTGATGGCAAGAACAATTTATAGTCTAAGAAGCTCTAGCTAAAAGTGATGATGATGAAAATTTGAAAATTGAAAATACTCAATCATAGCAACATATTTGTCCACTACAAAAAACTAAGAAACGTTTTTATTTGTAAATTTTGAAGTTATTGCCCTTATGATTTTCCCTACAGGAAATAAAATAACAGAAAATTTTTAGTGGAAAAACATATCAAAAGTGCGTTTTTAAATATATCAGGTTTTAGAGGAATGTAGGCATAAAGGATTGAACTGTAGTTAGGAAGAGTTTAAGAGAAGAAAGACTGAACTACATATGTAAAGTTCTCCTAATTTTTACTTTGTGTCTGTTTACAACAAAATCCTTAACTGTGCTCAAGTATTTAACGAATATTTCTAGTAGCTGGAGAGTAAATTCACTCATCTCTGAGATTTTTTTTGCCCATAGCATTCACATTTCTTCTCTTAGAAGCTCGGAGAAGGAGATCTACCACTCAGGAGGTTTGTAGGCGGAAAGGCATGTGTCATTCTGGCCGAGTGGTCTAAGGCGCTGCGTTCAGGTCGCAGTCCTCTTCGGAGGGCGCAGGTTCG